CCTGGCTCCAGGTCCAGCAAGATCCAAACAAACCCTGGCCCGTAAAAAAACCATCCCGGTACCCCCCCTCCCTCATAGATTTGGGGCGAGCTCCCCCTCCCAGCTCACCTGAGGGGTCCGAGGGGGGCGATGCTGCCGCAGCCGAGGGAGTTGCAGCCTGAGGGAGAAACTGCGAGGCTCTGCTGCTGCTCCTCTTCCTCCCGCTCCTCCTCCTCTCCCAGCCCGGCCCGGGCAGGTACCGACACCCAAAAGCAGCCGCGCTCGGCACTGGCGGGTTCCAAGGCAGCTGCGCACCTCGCGGCACTGGGAGTGCCACTGGAAGTGATCCTGAGAGCCCCGGAAAAAATTGGGAGCGCTTTCCCTCCCAGAGCCGCTCTTACTGGGAGCACTGGGAGGGAACTGGGAGCCAAGAGCGCCCGGACGCACTTAGAGCCAGAGGTGGGCGTGGCCACAGACTAGGGCGTGGTTATGCACATCAAGGAGCGATCGCGCGCTGTGATTGGTGGGCGGGAGCAGCGCGGGCTCTCCCCGATCACGTGAGGGCCGGGGGGTGGGACCCGAAGCGATGGCGGCGGCGTCCGGTGAGAGGGGACACGGACAGGGACACGGACAGGGACCGGGAACGGGAACAGGGACCGGGAACGGGAACAGGGACCGGGACCTGCAGTGGGAGCCGGGATAGGAATATGGGAACAGGACAGGGAATGTGTAAGCAGCAAGCAGCCAGAGAATATGGCATGGGGGTTAGTGTTCAGCAGTGCTGCAGTGAAACACATCGGCGCTGTGAGCTCTGCAGCTCGGCCTCCCCTGGGCTGCTGCGGCCCAGGGCCCAAAGGCCGGAGCTGCAGCCTCGCTCCTGTGCCAAGAACAGGAGCCTGGTGCAGGCCCATGGGCCCTGCATGGCCCCAGCATGAGGGAGGGCTCTGAGGCGCAGCGGTGCTGGCAGGATGGGCTGCTGTGGCCAGCTGGGGCCTGTGAGAAATGCCCAAAGCCTTGTGCTGTCTGCAGCTGGCCAAGGGCAGCAGCAGCGCTGAAGGGTTCGTGTGGCACAGGCGGCCCGAGCTGTGGAGCCCTCAGGCCCCCATGGGAGAGGCGGCCCTCGGGAATG